GTGCATTAATGGAAAATAAATAAGTAAATCTTTCTGATAAGCATGAGAGCCTTCCCAATGCAGCTGTTTCTGGACCTGGCATTGTTACTATCTTACAATAAAGGTTACCAGTTTAACCTTTTTCTAATATTGCTTAATTTGAACTGAATGGCCATTTTTCTAAAGCAGGCTCTCTCGTAAATGGAGTAATACTTTGCGTGCTGTGTGTATAAAAAAACTGCTGTGTGCACAGATTGCCACATCCAGAAGTGGACACGTGATATTAAATTAGTACAGGTCTCCATTATATGTTTGGCACTCTGAAATACAGGCAGAGTTGTGCTATGAATAATGTAGAACAGATGAGATTTGTTTTCCCCCCAGAAAAATGTGTGGTTAGGTTCTATTTCTAATGTTCAGACTTCAGAGTAACAAAAACCCTAATCAAGAACAGAAGTCTTGAAAGTGTCAAATAGTGATACAGCATTTAATAGCTCATTCTAGAATGTAAAAGCCAATTAAGAGTTGGCTTTTGAAGAGAGGTTTTCAAACTGTGGTCTGTGAGCCAGAATACTTGCTGGTGGTGTGCTGAGAACTGTTTGGTTATATGATCCTGGCTCCTCATTTCCAGCTGCTAAACTCCAGTAAAACCATTAAATATGTATTAAATTCTTTCCTAATTACTTTTCCATTAAGCAACAACATAACCCATAGATATCATACATGGTCTACAGCCTATATAAAATTAACAAGTACAAAGAATGTCACATGCCTGTTTTATGTACCAAAGAGAGAGACAAACTAATTGCCATGAAACTCAAATCACGGTCCTGTAGACAGACTCTCAAAGAAAATTGTAGATACTGTTGCTGTTTCAAACCTCCTTGGTTTAAACTACACTATTCTCCTAACAAATAGATGCACATGCTATACATTGTGGCTGTTTCTCTCTCTCAACACTACATGTAACTCACTGTTCACATGCTCCAGTTCCTTTCCCTGTGGCTTATGTACCTGTCAAGTTCATTCACACTCTTCTCCCTGCATGGACAGAATTGACCTCTCTGCCATCTACTCACATAGAATTTCCAAGTGTGCATGCATAAAACAGGTGTCTCACCAACCATTAACAAACAATAACCATAACAAATCCATAAATAGCACTCACTAAGGGAGAGACAGGATCTGCTTTGCAGAATTACACACACACACACACACACACACACTTTTAAAAACTAAGATTGCCTATGCAACCTTAATTTGGCCAATTTGTGCATGTGCATTATGATACAAATCTTCAATTACGGCATCACATACTACTTTTTCCACAAGTCCCCTGCCACATTCAGTGCACAGGACGGACACAGCTCACTGAATGGGTAGTTATTCAATATTTCTTTTATCCTCCTCATTCAATATGTGGCCCCCCTGCATTATCTACCACACACCTTTCAGATTCTGCACTGAGTACAGAATTTATTAATTTAGCCATGTGCTTTTTCTATGATGCTGTCAACGTATTATCTTAAACTCTTTACAAATGATAATGAACTCATTCTTCAAAACACCCATGCGAGATTGACACAAGCATCAACTAACTTTTTTTGGGGGGGAAAGGGGGCAAAGATGAGCACAATTTGAGAAGAATAGATCCTGATTTGTTCAGAGTACTTAGCATTGTATAGCATTTTATATGGTCAGAGCAGAGCTCCCATTGATCTCAGCTGCAGTTGTGAGTGCTCAGTTTCTTCTGCAAATCAGACCCCAGGTGTCTCAAGAGGTACACAGAAAATGAAGAACATACAATGGCCTCCCATGAGAAGTGTGATTTAAGTGACTTGCTCAGCATCACATAGGAACTCCGTGGCAAAGACAAGACTAGAATCCAATTGTCCAGGGTGGCATTAACTGCCTTAACTGCAAGACCATTCTCTACCTTATTCACCATATATCTTTCAATTTGTGGAGCAAACAAAACAGGGGTCCTTCAGATAATAGCATTATTCACTACACAACCCTGATTCATTCCTAGAGCAGTCTGTCTTGTACATTTAATGAGGCAGTGGTCCTGTGGAAATATAATACATAATTATGTAATTAAACTGTACATAATGCATATGCAAAAAAGCCAAATTAACGTTGCATAGGCAACCTTGGTTCTGGCATTTCCTCACTTTTGAGTGCTTAACACTTTGCAATCTTAACATTCTTTTAATGTAGATTTTAAAATGTTATTTCCTAAGATTTTTTTTAAATAAAAAATTAATTATATTGATCCTTACTGACCCCCATCTCCCAACAGGTCCTCAGCATGGTTGAGATCTTTAGACCTACAGCACAGTCCTCTACCACTTGCACTGAGTAACGAGCAGCAGTAGAAGGCTGTTACCTTATATGTGGCCATGTCACTAAGGGAGGATGGTGACACATACTACCTGTGGATTTTACAGCTACTTGATAGACAATAGAAGGAATTGAGATGCAGAAATAATGGGTTAAATGTCAGTTCCGTAGGAGAGTGTTCTCTACTTTTAACAGGCCCTTCTTCCGCTGCTCTCCCTATCCTCTTCTGCTCCTATTCCTCCACCTCCTCCACAGAACCTGCCAGTGTGCCTTCCCTTGCTGCTATCCCTCCACGCCTGCCCCAGTCCTTTCCCATTCCTCCCCTACTCCTGTCCCTAGTTCCTGCCCACGTTTTCTTCTTCCTTTGCTCCTGCCCCTCATCTCCCCCATCTTGTCTCCCTCTCTGGTCCTGCCCCTTTCTCCTCTCCTTTCTGAGATCCTGCCCCTCTCTCCCAACTTGGCATCTCTTTCCTCTATCCCCACTCCTGTTACTCATCCCTCTGCATTCAAGTCATTTAACTACTCCTCCTCCTTGCCTAGGCACCAGCAGGTGGAGCACTGAAAGCACATAAGAGACACAGTCCCCCTGCTATCCGTTCTAGTGTCTGGTGCCACAGCAGCTCCCAGCAGTTCCTGAGACCGGTAGTCCTTGGATGGAGTATGCTCGGTCACTCTGTACAGATGGCACACATGCAGTTCAGTGAGCACATAGGAGCTGTAATGGGGATGGAGTATGCTCAGATGGAATCTTCAGAGAGTTTAGCTGTCAAATTCTAAAAAAAAAAAATCATGTGCAAACTGGGATTTTCAGAGGCTCAACCCTTGGTCAAATTTGGGTGAATTTTCACAGGGCAAGCAAAAGCTGCATCCCTGACATTTGGAAGACACTCCTCATTCCCCCAATCTCCCCCCTCCCACCAGCACCACCACCAAATTTCAAGTCCCTGCTCCAAAGTATGGAGGCACCAGAGCTTCTCATCACAATCATTGTAAAAAAAAATTTTAACATGAGCAAAACAACATATTTTCCCTGCATCATTCTCAGAAATGGAACAACCATTTCAGCTGAAACATCCCTCCAAAAAATCAGCCTTGGGAAGATACCTGACATGGAAAAATTCAGCCTAAATGCCTTAAGTTTGCCAAAGTTATCAGCAACTGAAAACAGAATCTTATAATGGAAAGTGCAAAGCAACCTTACTATAGACAATACTATGTGTACCATTAAAAATATATAAAAGACACAAAATCTTAAAAAGCTAATGAAACATAAAAGGGAATGGCAAAGCACCATAGAGATTACAATACAAAATATTTTAAAGCTTAAAAGTAGTAAACAAATTAATTTTTCCCAAGGGCAGACTATGAACTTTAGACCGTCATTCCAAGGATGCTTTCTTTAATTGCTTTGAGAGAGACATTTCTGGTCAAATCATCCTTACCCACTCCACTCTCTGTTCATGAAGACTCTATGGGCAGCAGAATTGATGTTTATGTGGTTCAGTCATGCAAAATATTCCATAGTTCTGCTTTCATAGGAGGGATATGGTAAAGCAGATGTCGTTTCTTCAACAGTGGTTGGAGAGTAGTGTTGGGGCAGCAACTGCAGTGGTGTCACTTATGGGAAATTCCTTTGCAACAAATAGAGAAATATTTACCATTTCTAGGATGCCTGAAAATGCCTATAGAAAATTAAAGTTAGTCTATAGATATTCAGAATAATGTCTATATACCCCCATTAAATTTCTATGGATCCTAATTATTTCTTCCCACAGAACTTTTTTTATAAAGGTCTCCTTTCCTCCAATGGTTATATTCCCATGAAGCTGATCTACACTACCAAACAAAGCATCTGACTGTAGCTGTAAACCTTTACAAGAAGGTACGATCTAATAGAGGGTCTCCTTCACTCATTTAGAATCTGAAGAATCACCATGAGAAACTTGACTGCTTTATAGAATATTATTTGTGTAAAAAGTATTTTATTGAGTTTTTAAATTACATTGACGTATAAAATGCCAATCAAAACAGCCAGTAAAAAATTATACAAGTGAAATGTTGAAGAACAGGTATAAATTATCAAGATGAGTGCTGACAGACTAGAGGAGTTACAGCTACACAAACACATCTGATGAAAAATACTTTTCCTGTAGGCTATAAAATTCATCAAGTTTATAATGATCTGTTTGAATGAGATAAGTCCATTTCCACATATATCGTCACTGCGTTGGTACAAAGTATACATAATTTGGAAGAAAGGCTTTAAAAGAGAATTATTTTTGTCCTGTTTTCTGTGAGGTACAGTAAAGGTCATTTTGTCATTGGGCTCTATAAACTCAGGAGAGATCAGCTCAATTATTTTCTTTAATCAGTGACTACTTAATTCCTCCTTCCTCAAATAGTTCAGTTTATCTAATACAAGCAGTAAGTTGAACAGGAGTACTTGTGGCACCTTAGAGACTAACAAATTTATTTGAGCATAAGCTTATGTGGGCTACAGCCCACTTCATCGGATGCATGCAGTGGAAAATACAGTAGGAAGATATATATATATGTGTGTATACACACACACACACAGAGAGAGAGCATGAAACAATGGGTGTTTGCTTCAGAGTAACAGCTTCCTACTGTATTTTCCACTGCATGCATCCGATGAAGTGGAATGTAGCCCACCAAAGCTTATGCTCAAATAAATTTGTTAGTCTCTAAGGTGTAGCCACAAGTAATCCTGTTCTTTTTGCGGATACAGACTAACACGGCTGTTACTCTAAAGCAGTAAGTTGTTGCATTCCTCTAACTCTTACTCTGGTCAAATACAATTTCATTGATGCTGTTTGCTTCTGTAGCCAGAGTGACAAAATATACATATGATATACTGGCTCTCTTTTCCCCCTCCAAAGCTTTACCCTACACTTTTTAAAAGTGGTGATTCCCTGCAGCACAGATTGTCACTTCAAAATTCCCTTAATAGATCTATAATAGCAATGCTTATAGTACCTAGGTTACATAACTATTACGACATTATAGGGATTATCAATGAGAATGATATAAAGCAGGCTAGGCAGAGGGAGTATTTGTATAAGATACAAATGTTCAGTTGATATGATAATGTCTTTAAATTAAATTTAAGAGAAATTATAGTATCTAGTGTCCTTATCAGTACAAACACACAGGGGGAAGTTCACCAAGGTGTAGATGGACTATGCAAGACCCTTCCCATCACTTAAGATCAATTGTAGGATTTCATGGGTCAGGGGCACAGACAGAACAGCTCCGGAAGGAGCCTCCGACCTTCTTCAAGCCACAGAAGATCTCTCTCAGTTTTGGGTGCAGAATGAAACTTTGCCTATGTTTTGGGGTTTTCTGAGGCAGGGGTTTGGTTCAGCTTCATTTCCATGAAGGGTTAGAAACACTGTGGGGGTGCTTAAGCCTTCTTTTCTGCCTGAATCTTGAATATCTGAAAAATAGAAGTGGGAATCAAAAAGCTATTGGCTCCATAAAATGTTGTTCATGTGAAATGTCTTTTTTCACATTTGCCTTGATGACAGGGACTCCCTAACATACTACTTTACGTAGCTGGTCACTCCTCTTACCACGTAGGACTTGGAGGACCAAGTTCAGTTCTGGAATAAAGGGAGCACAGCTCACATAAAAGTCAATAGGAGCTGTGCATGTTAACACCAAGGCTGAATTTGACTCAGAGCCTTGTCCCCAAATGCATGTCAATAGAAGTTCTTTGCTCAGAATGATGGAGAGAATGTGCATACAGGATGGAAACTTTGATTTGTAGTTTAAATGGTTGAATGCAAAACAGTTTGACTTCCATAATGTTTAATGCAATCAGTGAGGATTCAGGCAAGTAAACTTTATAGCAGCTAATAGGATGCACGAGAAGTATATATATAATATATAATAAATATAATCAAAAAGCTCTTGCAGCTACTTCAGATATTGCTTATAACTGTGAACTTAATTCCTCATTCTAGGTTATTATATTATTATTATTAAACGTTTATATTGTAGTGGTCCCAAAAGGCCAATCAGGTCAGGACTTCATTGTACATGTAAATCATATAACAAATGACAGTCTCTCAGAGAGCTTACAGTCTAAGGCATAACAGGTGGATGAGAAAAACAAGCAGGTTAGAGTGGGAAACGGGAGAGTTGAGAAAAAAAAATTAGCACAATTCTCAGCCATTCAAGAGCAGCAGTTATATCTCATTTCAAACTTTTCTTAAACATGTATTTCCCTTCTTATCTACTCATTTCTATTTTAAACTATATATACTCTGTGTGTGTGTGTGTGTGTGTGTGTGTGTGTGTGTGTGTGTGTGTGTGTGTGTGTGTGTGT